CCAAACATGTGGTATCCTTTAATATATATATATATATATATATATATATATATATATATATATATATTATTATATATATATATATAAATAAAAATCAATTGTGTAAACTACCAGCATTAAGAAGCAATGCATTTCATGGCATAATCCCCCAGCATTTACACTATTTTTAATTTTTTTTTACACAGATTTTACCTAATAAGCCATAAATTATGATTTAACTACTTTTAGACTATTTACCTCCTATACTTCCTCAAATAAGTCGGGTGTAATTTTCATTGACAGAAATATGAACATTTAGGCAAATGAGGTATTTCAAAATCAACAAAATCATCTTTACCTTGTTAAGATCATTGTCAAACCCCACTTCTATCAATTATAGCCATAAAAAAAATATATATGTATACATTTAACCCACTTACAACGGGTGTCACACATATGAGAAACCTGGAAAAAGTAAACGTTACCAGGCGTCCTGCCAGTGCGGTGCTACATCGGAGCTTGTGCTCTGATTTTGCCGCCCGTGGCGGGCAGCGCGCAGACAGGTTCCCGAACTCGCCTGCGAGATAATTTTGAAGCTGCCCAGAAAATATTTTCAGCTTGAAATGCACTGTCGCTAGAGGGTTAAATGTTTCAAATATAATCAAGTCAGTCACCCATCAAGTTTTATATCATGGACATTACCCAATTCTTGACACCTCTTTAAAAAACTGCAAAACACTAAACACGAAACTTGGCCTCCTTCCCCCGCCTTCCCCACCAAAAAAAGTCATAATAAATTAAGATGAATCAGAAATTCAAACCAATGACACTCAGGAATAAAAAAATCATATGATGTATATCTACCTTTCTCCCACTGTGTGACGTCTACTTAAGTCATAATAACATTATACTTATCATAATGTCACTAATAATGACAGCATTTATATCTATAGCATCAAAAAAATAAAAAATCCCAGGCACTCATAGCAAGGGACAATCAGGTGAGGTCCTGCAACTTATTGACTCCCTAATGGCTGAGCACATTCTGAGTCATTGGTATAAACATACTTAACCCATTTGGGTTTCCACACAGACACACCAGATAAATAAATAAATATTTGCGGCGTTCCGCCGGTGTGACGCTGACGGAGTTGTGCTCTGATTCCATTGCGGGCCACGGCCAGCACGCGGGCAGATTCCAGGCCAGCCCCACGTGCTGATTTTGAAGGCGCCCTGAAACTATTACTTTCGGCTTCAAAATATACCGGCGGTAGTGGGGTAACAATACAAAACTACAGTGACCATTACATGTTCCTAGAAGCATTGGGTTAATTTTTTCACCCCATCAACTGTTTGCACAGTTGGTAAAAAGTTCACCAAGCAAAACTAGAGCAAAATGTCAGTAAATTATTGTCTTACCAACCTTTCCACAAACCCCCCTCCCCCAAGTTTTTTTTTTAATAATGCATGTAAAATAAGAAGTGTCTAAGGTAAAGCAGGTCAAAATATCCTTTGCCATTCTTCAGATATTACGTATCTGGACAAGAGGAAAAATACCAGAGCTTGTATGGATACTCATGCCAAATCTGGTATCCCTTACCTCTCAGCTGCTGCTTATATTGTGCCAATAAATCAATTATTACGACCTCTCATAGATGATATAGTTTCTATACCCTGAACTGCAGCTAACACTTTTTTATAAATAGAATAGGTAAAAAAGATTAACAAAGAAATATATACAAAACATGTATGTAAATGTCTATGAATATATGCATATCTGTATTTTATATACATAAACATCTAAATAAATAAATAAATACATATACATATCAATATATAAAAACAAATCTATTAAGTAGATATATACCTCTATAGATCAAGACCTGTTGTTTCTCGGTGCCCTCCCCCCGTTTCATACATAGACACACACAAAAAAGGAACTTTAATGGTTCAAATTAACTTATTGTAATTCTGGTGCTGTCCCTAATAATTAGAAAATCACATGTTTGGGGAAGACTTCAAAAACTGTTTACAATGACTTACCAGTCAGAGCAGCTAATGCTATTCTGCTTTGTAAATATTTACAAGTCCATGATACACGGCTGCCACTAATTCACACACGTACGAAACTGACAGAGAGAACTGCTTAGAAATTGTTAAACACCTGAATAATAGGACTAAACTGCACTGCTTCTCTCCTATAATTCAAGGCAACAACCAAGAGAAAAAAAAACAACAGCAGTTGTATTAAAAACAAATATAAAAAATTTATATATATGAAAAAATAGATAAATTACCGTAACTGTAATTAAAAAATATCTCTTGTAAACAAGCCCTTAACATGAAATATTACTTTCTGCTTGAAAGTAAATTCATACAAACCTGTTCTACCATGTTTTCTCAAGTGGAGAAGCCTTATCAATATATCATCCAAATTCCTCAAAATTCACATATAAATATATAGAGGTTAACATCTAAAATCACTTTTGTTCCACAAAAATTAATAAAAATAAACGTAACAAAAACAAAATTATCTTATATCCTCAATACCAAGACCTTCAGACCATACCTTTGTTTCTTGCTGCAAAACACCATTACAAAATTCTAAACTTTAATTAAAAAAAGAAAAGAAAAAAAAAAAAAAAAACTTTTTTACCTGCAAGGAGCCAATAATGTTCATATCAAGTGCTTTGACAGGAGCCTCTAGCACCACTCCCTCACCCTCATCCCTCCAAAAATTATAAAACCCAGATGGCCAGTCTAAGATATCCTAAGAACTAGCTTGGATTGGATTTTAAATCATTGAAACCCATTTAATGACTTATTTTCTGAATCAAGGAAGGTGGTGCTAAATGGCCTTATGTGAACACATGATATTATAGATTTTAAAGCTGGGGTCAAAACAGTTGAATGTGCTACAACTTAACTTGTGTAAAATCCCATATCCTGGAACAAAAGTAGTTAAGAAATAAAAATAAAAATTATATATATATATATATATATATAATATATATATAATATATATATATATATATATACGTATATATATTGTAAGGACTACTGAAGCAATACACTTAGTAATGCCGCATCCTGTCCTTTATAGATTTCCCTTATATTTCCCACCCATCCCTATTTTTACCCATACAAGGTTGCTTCACTTTACACCAGTTCCCTGAGAATATGATAAATCTGCAAGGGAAAGCTTGAAGTTGTTTGTACATCTTCCTAAGCCAAACCCTTCCGATTGACAACATAATAATCTCCAATGCTATCTGTTCCCACTAACTGATCAGGTGGTGAATTAAAGGATTAAAATGATTTGTTTCTACAACAAAAATCAACAGATTCATCATCCCAAGACAAAAGAAAAAGTACTCTAAAGCTATCTGAAACCCCTTCAAAGCAAAAGCTTTATTAGATCTTTCTGAAGAAACTCTTACATCATCATCTTATGATAACTTGAAAGATAAGTAAAAAAAAAATACAAAAAAAACATCACATTTATAGCATAAACACTATTTTTAAACGTCAAAAAACTAAAATTGCCAATTTACCACAAAATTTCCCAGGAAGAATATTCTAGTCCTGCTGATGATAAGAGCAAGTGTGACAAGATAAAAAAAGATCCCAAATGTTAAGAGCTTAATTAATGGCTAGAGTTTCTTTAATTGAACACTCCTTCACCATGTAGGACAGAACTGTGGGCTAAAATTACTGGCTATTATAGACCAGAAGGATGTGAAGGCATTGACTGAAAACTGAAATTTAGAAGAACAGATTAGCATACTGAACGAGAAAGAATTAACCCCAATAATAAACTTCTACTTACAATGAGTGCACCTTGCCTCCCCCCCTGAAAATAGCTTGTTTCACTCCAAAAGCTTTATTTGGTCAAGATATTAAAAAATGAAAAAATCTTCAAATAAACAATAATAAAAAAAAAACTTAATTATGTACATATATAAAGAAATAGTAATTGAGATAAAAAACAAAACAAAAAAACACTGAAATATATCAATATATAAAGTAACTGAAATAACATTAAATAAAAAAGAGAAAAGAGTACAAGAATGAAGATAAAAAATCATAAACAAATAAAAATAAACAAAAATTCATTATACATGCATAATTTTGTTAGTTAACAAAAAATGAATGAATAAATAAAAATAAAACAATGATGAAAATCTATAAAAAGTAAACAAATTCAAAAACAAAATATAAATACAAATAAATACAAATATAAACAATTTCAATTCTAAATACACTCCCCCTTCAGAGAGGAGGAGGAAAAACTGAAGATTCACCCGCAGGTGATGTATCTTTATACTTACGAGGAAACGGAAACAAATCTTACCAGGTAGCAAAACGCCGGTACAGGTCTACAAATTTCATACCTTGTGAGGAAGTAACACTCCTCTTGACACTTCTTCAAAGCTATTGTGGCACCCTTCTTATCACAAAATACTACCACACCATCGCCAGTAGTTTTCCCACGGTCATCAACAATCACGCGGCAAGATTCAATCTAAAAGTAAGAAAGGTAATTTCTAGGGGGGATTTGTCCTCTCAAACTATGACATTAAAAGGACCACTAGACTTTGTGTTTCCTGATGATCCCCTAGAAAATATATAAATAAAATAAAATAAAATAAAAATAATTGAAAATATAACAACAAAAGAAAAAAGAAAATAAAAGTCAGTACAGTTCCACTGGTTTCACCCACCCTATAATCATATATATCCCTACCAAGTCCCACTGCTGTGTCAAAAATATAAATAAATAACTATTCAAACCATGTTATTACATTTTAGAGTCCCAAATCCTTTGTATGAACATTTCATAATACAAAATTTGTTTGGTATGTACGAGTGCATGTGGATGTAAAATGATAGTAAAACCATACTGATAAACAAAAATAAATCCATACACAAAAGTTTTTGGAATAGGAGACAAGACTTCTAAGGTCAACTTCATTATCAAAATTTCCAATAAACTTTTGTTTATAGTGAATTATCTGTCACATATAAACTTATACAAGTTTAGTTGAAATGTACAAAAAAATACTCCTTTAATATAAGAAAAAAATACCCTCCCTATTACAAAATTGTTAATCATAATAAAAACTTGAAGTAGAACATTAATACCCTCAGCCCAATTAACTCAAGCACGGTTAATAATAATAATAATATCAATATTAATAAAAATAATAATAATAATAATAATAATAATAATAAACAGCAATAACCCTCCACATGAGTAAACCAGATGCTCTGTACCCCACCCATTAATTCATGTACAAAAGATAATGTTAAGAAATACATGGACTTCACTGTACACTGACTTTTATATATACTAATACACTACACTAACTTGCCTGTATTCAAGCACCCTTTTCTTGAAAGCCCATAAGCCTAACTTATTCACATTACTTCACATTTCACTACACTAAATATATATTTAAACAAATTTACTAGTAAACAGATCTGTCTGGACCCTTCACAGATGAGGAACTTTCATTGGGTGCAAGTTAGCAAAAACAGGTATGGTAATATGAAGAAAAAAGAAGGAAAATCTTAGCTTCTTTCTTCCCCATCCTCCCTTATCCATTCCCATGAGTGTGAGAGTTTGTCTGTGCACACTGCAACAGGAACAACGAAGAGAAGGGCAAGAAAACACACGAATATGCCGAAGTCCTTTTCACTATTGCTTCGTCAGGGCATATGCTACATGAGGTACATTGGAGTATATATACAACTACTGGGTGATCAGGTCACGTCGGTAATCAGGTGAGCGACGACCTTGGCTAGTTCATGGCTCCCCGTAGCGGTGTTGATGTTGTTAGTTGTATGAAGCCATAAACTAGCCAAGGTCGTCGCTCACCTGATTACCGACGTGACCTGATCACCCAGTAGTTGTATATATACTCCTATGTACCTCATGTAGCATATGACCTGACGAAGCAATAGTGAAAAGGCCTTCGGCATATTCGTGTGTTTTGTTGCCCTTCCCTTTGTTGTTCCTGTTGCAATCTGTTCAACATGAATTCCACACGTCTGTGCACACCTGTGCATGAGTGTGCCTGTGTACACCTGTGTGCATGTGTGTGTGCGTGTGCATGTGTACATGTATGTGCCTGTGTCTGTGTCTGTGCCTGTGCCTGTGTGTACATGTGTACATGTGTGTGTGATTGTGTGTGATTGTTTCCGATTATGATTGTGTGTGTGTGATTGTGTGTGTGTGATGTGTGTGATGTGAGTGTGATGTGATTGTGTGTGTGTGTGTGATTGTGTGTGTGTGTGATTGTGTGTGTGTGTGTGTGTGTGTGTGTGTGTGTGTGTGTGTGTGTGTGTGTGTGTGTGTGTGTGTGTGTGTGTGTGTGTGTGTGTGTGTGTGTGTGTGTGCACATGTACACATCGGTATGTGTGCATATGCACATACAAGAGAGCGAGAGTGCAAGAGATCAAAAGGGGGGGCAGAGAGGGAGGGGAGAGGGGAGGGAGAGGGAGGGAGAGGAGGGAGGGAGGGGTAGGGAGGTAGGGAGAGAGAGAGAGAGAGAGAGAGAGTGAGAGAGAGAGAGAGAGAGAGAGAGAGAGAGAGAGAGAGAGAGAGAGAGAGAGAGAGAGAGAGAGAGAGAGAGAGAGAGAGAGAGAGAGAGAACGAATACATGATTAAGATCTATTAGACGGTATGTATAGAAATACACAACCAATTTTTCAGCATCTGCTGGTCGGTTCACATAGATTAAAAAACTTCCATCCAATAAACTCTTGAATTCTTTTAAATCATTTATATAAAATGTGCTTTAAATCATGAGATTTGTGATGCTCTTGAACTTTAAAAGGTGCTCAATTAGTAAAAATTCTCAATTAGTTCTGATTGAGGCCCTTAGACCAAAAGTGCTGAAGAATCAGGGTGTAAATAAATACCTTTTATAAATAAGAAAAAAAAAAAAAAAAACACATATACATATATATCTACATAGGTACACTCACACTTGTACAGACACACATTCATGTACTCATACACACACATCATAATAATAACAATGATCAATAATATCACATCATAATATAATATATATATAATCATAATCAACATAATAATAAAAATAATGACAGCATTACAAAAATAAAAAATCACACCAGGACAAGCAATATATATATAAAAAAAGATACAACTCTTGATTTATGCCATATCCACAACCATTTTCATGAAAAATAAGAAAATAAAATGTCAATTTTCTTCTCCATCATGTATCAAACAAGAACTACTTTCATTTATGCTTAAAACACATCTGTTGAGGATGCCTTCTAATGTTAAGCTGTCTGAAGGAGGGCGACTGCCAGGCTGGTAAAAGCTTTAATGGGGTTAGTTTTCCCTTTAACGTAAAATGTTTAGTCATCAATGTCATTCAACTCCCGTTTCTTTTTCTTCTTCACAGAAGGTTTCTTTTTCTTCTTCGCAGAACTATCCATTGTTTTCACACTTTTTCTGAATTTTCATTTAATGATCGACGTTGAATTTAAGTACCATCACTACTAAGCATCTGTAACGACATCTCTTTACTTCGGACAAAGATAAGACTATGAAAATGATTTAGATGTGAATAGGTTCTGCCCCTCCCTTAGCAGTGGTGGTGGCTATGTAATGGTTTCAGTGCTCCTCCACCCGCACGTGCATGTAAGCTTGCAGGTTCAACCCTTGTTACTGAAGTTACAAGGAGTTTCTTGTCAGCATTTGGCAAAGAAGGATTAAAAATGCCATGTAGAGCTGAGTAAAGCTTTCTTTAGACCCATTCCCTTTATTCTGAATTACCACTCCTGCATATTATGGCCTCTCTATCTGCCTCAGGTGAAATTCTCCCAAATACAAGTCAAAATTATCGGACCTTGAATAAACAAACAATAAATATATATACATATATACAAACATACATATATGTATATGCATACACATATCTATATACATATATTTATATTTATATATACATATATGTCTATATAAATTCCTCTTAACAAAACCATCTCCCATTTGCATCTATTACACATGTACATATCCACGTCACAGAAAATAATTACATCAAAATGTGAACCCCTTAATGACAAAAATGGGAATAGGATTCACTAATTTCTATACTGCTGAAACTATCCATTCATCTAAACAACGGAAGTTTACAAGGAGACGTAGAGGATTGGAAAAGAAAAAGGTCAGGCAAGTATTTGGGAGCTAGACAACAAACATCAGCCACATTTACAGTACATACAGGAAATTCATCTCAGCTGACCACTCCCTTATATACAGTCCACTGGTGTTATTTCAATTAGTGTGAAATTCCTCCCACTATAGCATAAACAACTTATCCCAGTCACTTCCATGCATAGCTTTAACAAACAGCAGCAGTTAAATGATCATTGCATATTAGTTTTTCCACGAGGCCATCAAACATCAGCTTTGACACTTCACAGCCTGACCAAATTTCCAAACCCTTAACAGATACAGACCAAGAATACTAATTTGTGCAAATTTCTGGCCAAAATGTGGATAATTATCAGGTACAAATATTTTTCTTTAAATATTCCTTGTATACTTGCAATCAAGAAAAATAAGCTTGAATATCCAACATAGCATTCTAACCTAAAATATCATTTAGTTGATTAGTCATTCTTCAAAGATGATGCCAATGTTATAGTATGCAATTCATGTTTGCTTAATTAGTTTATACTTAAGAACTGATTGTTTGGATAACAAACTAACCATAGGTTATCTCATTTTGAGAGAGAGAGAGAGAGAGAGAGAGAGAGAGAGAGAGAGAGAGAGAGAGAGAGAGAGAGAGAGAGAGAGAGAGAGAGAGAGAGAGAGAGAGAGAGAGAGAGAGAGAGAGAGAGAGAGAGAAAGAGAGAGAGAGAGAAAGAGAGAGAAAGAGAGAGAAAGAGAGAGAGAAAGAGAGAGAGAGAGAGAGAAAGAGAGAGAGAGAGAGAGAGAAGAGAAAGAAGAGAGAAAGAGAAAGAGAGAGAGAGAGAGAGAGAAGAAAGAGAGAGAGAGAAAGAGAGAGAGAAAGAAGAGAGAGAAGAGAGAGAAAAGAGAGAGAGAGAGAGAGAGAGAGAGAGAGAGAGAGAGAAGAGAGAGAGAGAGAGAGAAAAGAAAGAAAGAAAGAAGAAAAAGAAAGAAAGAAAGAAAGAAAGAAAGAAAAAAGAAAGAAAGAAAGAAAGAAAGAAAGAAAAGAAAAAGAAAGAAAAAAAAAAAAAAAAAAAAGAAAGAAAGAAAGGAGATCCATTTTGCCACTTCCCATCAGAGACTAACCCACTTACCCTGGGATTATAACAAAAGGGAATAGCTACAAAATATATCTGAAAGAAACAGAGCATAATACTACCAAACTTCTAGCAAACAAAAGAATTCTCTGCTTTCCCCTAAACAATCTTATCTATCTCTCATGTATATCAAATGGCATATTTCTCAGTCTTAGAATGATCCCTGGAAGCTGTCACAAGACTCGTCCACCCATGCTGCCCATGAAAATGGCTATAAAAAGGTATGAAACTACCAAGCCTATTCATATTGCCTCCCCCTTCAGTCAACATTACTATTACTAAACTTAATGAAACCAATAAGTTTATGCAAATTACTACATTTTTGCTAAACCAAATATTCACTCAAAGCTAACTAAGCACAATAAACTACGTACACATAAATCTATACTGATATATCTTGACCTTTGAAACTACTCAATTCCCTCCTACAAACAAACTTTCAGAGGCATGACTATGGCATAAATCAAAATGTAATTGTATCTACTTTTTAAAAAAATATTGAACTTTCCCCTATTAAGTTTTCTCGAAGCCTAAGTGAAGACGTACTAAAAAGTTTCCTTCTTACAAATCCCTAAAACTCGTAGCCTGTGCCTTGACCATAGATATAACAAAAAGTTAAGCAACCACAGATGCCATATGTTACAGGGACAAATCTTGAGACAACTAAGAACATCGATCCCTTTGAAGAAACCCTAACACACATGATTTTTCTCTCATTCAAAGACTTAAATTGCAACCAACTTTTCAGGTTACTTGTGAAGCAGACTTTTCTTGATACTCATGAAGACAACCACCTGGAGTCATCTGAAGGAAAAATACAGATCAATTCCCCAGAACACTTACCTCTCCAAAGACCGAGAAGGACTTATGCAACAGTTCATTGGACACGTATGGAGTAAGATTTTTAACTTTCACACCCGTTGTAACCGAGGCATAGCGGATCTTCATTGGGCGGTTCCTGACCATCTTTCCTTGCAATTCTGTTTTGGCTTTCTCTGCATTGGCCTTGTAATCCTAGCGGAAGGAAAACACACTCAAATATTAAATTTCAATCATCATAATCATTGGTATTCTTTAATAATACAGACTTTACTGCCACAAATAAGTTGCAGACAGAACACTTCACTTACAAAATTGATAAAAGCATATGCCCCATCCTTGTTGAAGTACACCTGTCCAAGTTCTCCATATTTAGAAAACAATTCCTTGAGTTCTTCATAGGGAATGTCTCTTGGTAGGTTTCCAACAAACAAACGACTCTGGGCATTAAACTTCTTCTCGGAGGTATCCAAGGGGGGGAGTTCCATTTGTGGGCAGTTCAGCTCTGTCATCACCTTTTCCTTGATTTTATCCTGCAAGGTAAAGAACATCATAATTATAGTAATTGGCGATTATAAATCTTATAACTACTAAATGGTCTTTCCCACACAACTGATATGAGCAGAATAGTGTAGAAAAACTTCACTAAATTTAAGAAAACAAGTGCCCAGAAGTTAGCAAAATACCATTCTGGAGAGTTTGATCCCATATGTATAACCAAATATACCATCATATCATACTATAGTATGTTAATATGGACTAGCAATCTTTCCCATCACTTATTTCTGTGTTACATGTTAAATGTCTGTATTCTAAAAGATTAATCCAAATTCTGAACAATCCAAAGGTCACTCAATATATGGTGTTTTCCATATCCTAAGCATTCATAGATAGACAATCCAGCCTTGCTTTTAACACCAACCAGCATTCGTGAATCCAAAAACTTTTGAACTAACAAATAACATTCATGAAGTGCTACATACTTTGTGAACCTTTTAACATTTTTCAGTGACAGTGATCAGTCTCAGGATTGGGGATACGGTAAAACTCTTACATGACTGATATTTGCAGTGCCACCATTCCTGACTGCATGCCCTTATCAACCCATTGGATCTGGGTGCAATTGGACCCACATGTGAAATAAAATCCAGGAACTAGGCTTACTTGAGCAGTGACTCTCCCAGGTATGTGGCTTGTAGGCTGAGCACAGAAAACATTCATGTCCACTATAAAGACTCCTTGCCTCCCATTTGCAGTGATATCTCTTATTACATATGCCCTTTTTTTTTTTTTTTTTTTTTTTTTTTTTTTTTACATCTTTGCAACTTTACAAGCTCTATATATACTAGTCATCAGCCATCAGCAATGGCTGTTCCATCTACCTATCACAGTGAGCACACCAACACCAGTCCCACAAAAAGTAACAAATGTCATTTACATTTTTTGGCAAGTGATGACTTGACCTAGTTCGGACTCAAAATTACCTCGTAGGTCTACAAACTTTATTCTGCCAGATATAAATGATGGAATTTTGTTGGCAGCATTTGAATCTTTGTTCCAGTCATTTTATATCTAATTGCACTATTATCCTTTATTCTTGCCAATCAATTTCTAGAGGAGTGAACATTATTCTGGTTCCTTTACAAGATGGTATTCTTTATTTGGGCACATCTTTGTGCAATCCTATCACTAATAATCATCCAACTTTCTGAGCCTAGTAAGAACGGGTAAAATTTTGATGGGGTCAGGCATATGTTAGTGCAAGCCACTCTGTGCCTGGGCAATTGTCCCATTCATAGTCAAACATACAAGATACTATCTCAGCAATTTGGACATAGACTCAAGACATGATGAGGCATCACCAAGCATCTTGGATGCCTTATTTTGAAATAACCCATCACCAATGGGTTATTTCAAAGCATGGTATAAACTTGAAAAACTTTTTATTTTAAAATGGCAACAAATCTATTGCAAAATTGTTTTGATCCGTATTAAGAACAAACCACAAGCAGAACTAATACAAGAAAAGGCCAAGTAGCACTCTTACACAAAAAATAATTTGTGTGAAATGCAGGTAAGCCTTCAAACGCTACTTGAAATCTCTAAATCTATGCATCAAACATTTTGCTACGAGCTCTATCAATGGTCAACCTCCCTGGGTATATTTTCACAAAACAGCAATTCAGCCACAGGATCACCATCTGTTCCTTTTCTGGGTACTACTTTGGTTTTGTTCCCAGAATACCTCAATTACTCGTATCAAGATAATGCTTTCTTAGTTTTCAGAAACCATATCAATGCTATTGGCTGAACTGAAGTCACGCAATATCAAAGTAAACAGTTAATATTATCGAGAGCAACACCAAAATGGAGGGAAATGGACACTACCATCTTAGAGAGGATAAGAAATGAGACTCAAAACACCACAGATACAACTGCTGGGGCAAAATGACAAAAATGCCTTCATATCAAAACTCAGAGACAAACTCCACAACACCTCACACTGCCAGTGTTTTAAAATTTGGCAAGAACTGCAAATGACAGGCAGTTACTGGGAAGAGGGGGTTTGCCTCCCCTGGCTAGGGGAAAAATAGAAGGTTGGAAAGGTTAGGTATGGATTTTTGGGTTCACACAATACCCCAATGCTTAGGCAAGTGTAAATAAACCGATGGGTAAAGGAAATACTTTAAAAAATCTAATTTAGGGTGTCTGGATGGCCTGTTGCTCGTTTTCTAGAGAGCTCCAACCTCTAAATAGGCCATTATGTCATAATTTATAAGCACCAGTACAATGTCGATCAATGTACCCCACACCAAGGTTCTAGCACACCATCAACAGACCACCATAGATACCATGCCTATGAACCTCTGGCAAAGGGCAAGCAAACCTCAAAAACACATATTCTGGCAATAATGAACTTGATCCACTTTCTCATTTACCAATGAAGGTGTCTAGAAGTGTCATCATATGGATTATATTGGTGGAGCTTCAGAGGAATTCAGTCAGATGGATAATAAAGAGGCTTCAACAATCACCGTATACTAAATCTTTCTAAGTCAGTACTAATAATTATCAAAAGTATACATCAAATGCAATCCATAAAACTATATTCATTATCAGTCATGTGTCAGCTTTTGAACAAAATTAACCATTATTATTTTCAGTTTTACAAAGCCATCCATTGACAATATCATTCCTTGTTTCAATTACCCACATTGTAATGTGCATGAATCTCTTATTTTCCTTCGCAATCGATAAAAGTATGCATCAATAGTGTTTACCGTAATTCTTTACAATAGGCTATGGACGCATTCACCAGAGACTAAGTCCCCCAACTCCAAAATTTATTCAACAATAAATTGCCGTGATTGGGTGTACCCTTTGGCCATTGCACAAGAGGTAGGATGATGGGAGGCTCTGTCTTCCAACACCCTCGGCAAACATGGTTTTCAGCTCTCATGCATGGCAAAATAGAGCTGAAACTCAGGAGCACCAAGTGGACTTAGGCTGTCAGCAGCACTTTCTGCATTCTCTCTCCTTTATTTGTTTTGTTGTCATTCGTGTCTCCAAATTATTTCTTGTATCAACTGCAACTTCTTTTTCTCTACTAAGAAAATAATTTTCAATATCCTCTACCTTTGTGTGCCCATACTTTAATGATTAACTGTGTTTACAAAGTGTGAATTAGTAAGTGCAGTTTCTTTTATAATTGTTGAACTACCCTTATCTTTCCCTGTAAATGTATATCAAAGTATTAAGTGTTGCACAGCTTTCTTACAAAGACAGTACCATAGATGAAAGGGGTCTTATTTTCATTCATTCTTTCCATTACTAGCAAGTTCAATCTTTACAATATGAACAAAGTTAGGGCAAACTGAATATGATATTTTTGTAGAGAAAAAACTTAGTCGTTGGTACAATAAATGATAATTGTTTTTACCAATAGTGATGCTCCCTCCCAAAGAATAAGTAAAAAAAAATCTGCAGGAAATCTAATGATTTTATTGATTCTTGGTGTTTTTACTTCTTTTACCATTTATGCATCAACCATCTTGATTTGATAGTCCTGATAGCAGGGGAGGGCATGAAGTACATCAGGGAAATTACCGGGTAAAACAGGTTTAAACAAGAACTGAAAAAAATGCATAAAACCAGCACAAAAAAACTTAAAAATGGCCAATGAAACTAGGATGTACCTGCCATCTTTCAAATTCTACAGGCCAATGCAACACAATTGAAATAACTATATAGGAATTCAACCCACCTTTTGGTAAAATCTACAGGAATTCACATGTTCCACCCCCCCCTCCCAAAAATACATACTGACGAATAAACCAACCTAATCTAACAATTTAAGTTGCGTGACTAGGCGTGCCCTTCGGACACTGCCCAAGGGGAGAGCCCCCCCAACGCCTCCCAGGACACATTCCCTCTACTTCAGTATGTACACCAAGATAGAGCTACATTTACACCATATTATTATAAACCAAATACCTTTATATCTGGAACACCAAACTTTTGTTTGTTTCTTTCTACTGTCTGGATTGCTTTATTCTTAATTTTTTTTGGCATTTGGGGCTCATGATGGTATCATATCAAACTGGGAAGGTTACACTATATCCGCACATTGCTAGAAGTAACCTATACCCAAGAAATAATCTGCAGACGCTAACGGTAACGCCAAAAATAAAGGAAAACAACACAGAAAGCATCACTCTCACTAAATTCACTAAGTTCTTCTGAGTTTCAGTTGTACCTTGCTGTGCATACCAAGGTGAAGACCATGTTTCCTGGGGTTGTTGGAGGCAGAGCCCTCCATCAACCCTCTGCTCAAGCAGTGCCCAAAGGGCACGCCTACTTACGACAACTTAGATTGATGAATAATTTTTT